ATATTAAATAAATAAACTGGTACACCATGAACCACTTCTTGTTCAAGAAGATTTACTTCTAGAAAACTCCTGGCTGCTGTGAACATGGCCACATCAGTATGTTCCACACCAAAAAAAACAACATTCTGGTATTTTCCAGAATATTTAATTCCCAGAATAGTGGGTTTTGTGTATATATTTGGTTTGGATTAGCACCGATTTGATTTGCTATCACAGAAAAAGGAGAGCCAGTTTGGTGTAGTGGTGAAGGTGCTGGCTTAGAAACTGGGAGACGGGGAGTTCTAGTCCCGCCTTAGGCATGAAAGCCGGCTGGGTGACTTTGGCCCAGTCCCTCTCTTTCATCCCAACCCACCTCACAGGGTTGTTGTGGTGGTGAAAATAGGAGGAGGAAGGAATGTTATGTACGTTTGCCACCCTGAGTTACTTGTAAAGTAATAAAGGCAGAATTAAAAAAAAAATCTAAAAAAAATGGTATTATGTTGGAAAAGCATCGGTGTTCACTCAAACTCAAGTCCATGTATACAATTCTTAAAAGCAGACTACATGATACAATATGAAAATATTCTCTTCTCCAATTTTATGTTAAATTGAATTTCCTGCCTTTTTTATTATGTTCAACTTCCATTTTCTCTCTCTCTTTAAACATCTTCTGTTTTGTTATACAGATGATAAAACCGACTTTTTCCCTTATGCTATAGAAGCCAGATCAGAGTCAGCCCCATTAAGTAAAATCATCAACATGCTTATCCATATGATATTGCTTATACAGGAACAGTTACATCATCCTTAGGCGCAGTGCAAATCTCAAACTAAAACAGGATATTTAGGCATGGTTAGTTGAACAAAGTGTAGTGGCCTAATTCACATGCCATGAACCATATAACCATAAAACATCTTGGTTTGTGTATCACTGTAAGCAAGCAACAACTAACAACATTGGGCATAGCATTTTCCATGACTCCAGGACTTAACAGTCATTTTTTAAGGAGATGGGTGGTGACAAATTTGATATATAAATATAAATAAAATAAAAATATCACATTAAATTAATTTTATAAATACATTAAAATGAAATACATATCAAAGTACCAAAGAGAACCAGAGCAGCCCCCACTGAATTCCAAAGTGTTATAAAAGTGCAAGGTGTGGTAGGAAAAAAGTGTGAGAGAAATTTGTTGAAAGACCGGAAACCTTATATAGACTTTTTGCTGAAAGAAGAAAAAATGAATTGATGATTTATGGATCTGAAGATCAAAAAAGATGCAGATTAAAGGCGAGGGTGAGGAGATTTGCAAAATATTTAAAGAGGGAGAAGGGACAATAAGATTGTAATTATTTGTCAATAAGGTCAGGAGTCATTTATATATTTCTTAATTTTGTTTTCTTTTTCTTTTCTTGCACTTTTTCCTTTCCTTTTCTTTCTTTTGATTTGCCTCTGAGTTGCTTTTTATTATATGAATTTTTAAAATAAAATAAATATAAATTTTTAAAAAGTTCAAAAGAGCACCCCAACGGCGTGCTTGAAGCTCCATGCATTTTTAAAACGTGCACTGCACACGTGACACATATTAAAAACAGAGCTTCAATCTTATCATATTGGCTGCCCTTGACTTTTTTGACCTGTGGACACCCCTGGTCAAGCACATCCTTTTGACAGCCAGAGTCCTGTCTTCCATCCCTGGCATTTTCATAGCATGGCAGACTTCTTTCTAAAACTCTGGGAGCCCGCTATCTGTATAAAAAGGGGTGGGGCTTTGCTTATAGCCACCATCTTGACTTTCTGACTCCTCCTGAGGACGCCCCTGCTACTGAAATATAAGGAACTGTAGTTAAATTGAATACAAGACGACTTACACTCCTAAGTCAACTATACTCACCTCTAAATTGCGCGTTCCTGTTTCAAGGATGTGAGAAACCGGACCTTTTGCACCATTAATTGCACATTCCTGAAAGGCAAAGGGATGCTATGAAATCATATAAGGAAAAATGTGACAGTCTTAAACACCACAGCTACTAAAAAAATAACAAATGACTTCTGTGTCTTAGAAAACATCTGCTCTGTAATTTCATCCATTGCTTCATTGCAAATGTAAACAGGATTAATTAAAATCCTGTTTATATTTCAGGACATGTAACCCTTTTTCTCTTTGTCTAAATATTTTCAAAAATAAAACTCCAAGGTTTGTCATGTTATTATATTCAACACTGTGCTATCTGAATAAAACATGGACTCTCCTTATCTAAAGCAGTGAGCATGTATAGTGGTTAAGACTCAGGTTTTAGTTTTTGTCATGGAAATTTAGGCCAGTGACTCTCTTTTACCCATGCCTACCTCACGGTTGGAAGGATAAAAGGAAGAGGGATTCCCATGGAAGCCACCTTCAGTTCTTGGTGGGAAGGCAACCTATAAACCTAATCAATCAATCAATCAATCAATCAACATAAGGGCTGTATCAGATGATATAGCAAATCATGGCGAACCATCCTTGGCTTACCCACCCACACCTCACCATATTCTAACATCTACTGAAGTGATTGGTTACCTGACACATCCTTTTATCTTATTTTAACCAAATTGAGATAAACGTAAGAAAATGGATAGTCAGAGTCCTTGGGGGAGAGGGAGAGAGGGGTTGTTGAAAAAGCAAAGACAGCCACAACCACACACACAAAAAGGCCCAACTCCTTTTTTGCATACATTGTGTGGTGGCATCTTGACTTTTTTAACCCTCCTGATGTCCCCCCTCTGTAGAATGGCTCAATCCAACTCAGAACTTCTATAGACAGTCCTTCCCTTAGCCCCTTGGTTTTCAACGCTCCCACCCACCCCTTCATATTGATGTCATCCAAATGTATGTATCCAGCAACTGCCAGTCACTACCATGGTTTCTTTTTGACTTATGATACTGGCTTGTTTGGCAGGGAGAAACCAGAACTCCTGGTCCACTTGAATGTACATCAAAGAACCTATGAGGGCTTCCTGATTTTTTAGCCCCTCCCACTGAAGGAAGAGTCAAGAGTAAGCCCAATTCTGAAAAGTTCTAATTTATTATTACATGTAAAGTTTGGTTGCTACCTAAAATTACATGAATAAAACTTGTAGGGGACAGATTAGGTTAACTAAATTAAACTTATGTACAGATATATCTCCAGGTTGCTATCTGGAAGTCAGGCAGCATATAAATTTAATAAATTAGCAGCAGCAGCAGCAGCA